ATTCTTGCTAACGTCAATATTTTAACTACTAACTCTTCCCTTTTGGGTATGACATCGGATTTCCAATTTCTGGCCAACAGCAGTCTAGCGGCTGTTATTATATATCCTAATACATATGATTCTTGCTTATTATAACCTTTCGGGATCATATTTAACAGATATATTTCTGGTTTTAAAGCTAAGTTTTTTCCAATAATTTCTTGAATTACTTTCCGAACCATTTTCCAATATTCTTGTATCTTACTACACATCCACCACATATGGTAAAATGTCCCCGGGTTCGTTTTACATTTCCAACATAAATTGGAATATCCGGTATAACATTTAGCTAATTTATCCAGGGACCAATGCCATCTGTGGAACATTTTGTATACATTCTCCTTATACGCCACCGCTTTCATAAATTTGACAGTTTTCCACATACTAGACCATTGCTCAAATTCTATATTTTTACCTAAATCCTTCATCCAAGTTATCATCACTGATTTAATTACTTCGTCTTGTTCAAAATCTTCCAACAGGAACCTATACAGCTTCTGTATTAGTTTATCATTTGAGGACAGCCAGATCTTATCCAATTCATTATTTTGGTCTTCAAAACCTCTTAGCATATCTTTTTTGTATCTATCCCTTAGCATTATCTGTTCCCACCAAGATAGGTTATTTTCTTGTTGTAGTTTTTCTTCTGTTTTTAGCTTATTATTTCTGCTTAAAGTTGGTAGCTTTTTCTCTTATTTATTGTTATTAGTGATGGATTAATAAAAGCTTCTAAAGGGGATACCCATCTTGGGGTTTTCTTGTAAAAAACTTCTTTTATATTACACCAAATTTTATTTAGAGACCCTCTAAATGCATGCCTTCCAAAATTTGAATGTATTTTATCTTTCCCGTACCATATATAAGTGTGCCACCCCATCCAAAGATCGTGTCCTTCTAAGGCTAAGAGCCTTATGTTTTCTAAAGTTATCCATTCTTTTATCCATACTAGGGTGGCCGCTTGATAATATATATACCAGTTGGGAACACTCATTCCTCCTCTTTCCTTTCTATCTTGCAGCACTTTCCACTTTATTCTCGGTCTCTTATACTGCCATATAAATTGCCTAGTAATTTTGTTCAACTCTTCAAAGAAAGCCTGTTTTTTTAAAACCAGTATACTTTGCGCTAAAAACAGAAATCTTGGCAACACATTCATCTTAACTAGTGCTACTCTGCCCATAAATGATAACGGGATATTCTTCCATTTCTGTAAATCCAGTACAATTTCTTTCAGTAACTTGTAATAATTGTCCTCAACTAGCGAATTACATTTATTAGACATATTAATTCCCAAATATTTTACCTTTTTAACCATTTCCATATTTGATGATTCTCGAATTATTTCTACTGTCCTGGGGGAGCAATTTTTCACTATTATTTTTGATTTTTTATAATTAATCTTAAGTCCCGCTACCTGACCATATTTTCTAATTGTCTCCGTCAATTCATCTATTGATGTTTCTGGGTTTCCTTCTATAAATACCAGGTCATCAGCAAATGCCTGTAACTTAAACTCTTCCCTTTTTACTTTTAGTCCTTCTATTTGTTTATTTTTCCTTATACCTTCATTTAATGATTCTATCGCAAAAACAAACAATAAAGGTGACAATGGACATCCTTGCCTAGAGCCTTTCTGGATTTCTATCACACTAGTCACATCTCCATTTATTATTACATTCGCATATTGCTTTTTATATATGGTTTTAATCATGTTATAAAAGCATTGTACACAGCAGTGTTCAGGTTCTGGAGTAGAAACTTCCAAGATAGGTTATCAAACGCTTTTTCTGCATCAAGAAACATTAACATCAGCTCTTTCTCTGGATGTTCTTCATAAAATTCTAATACGTCCATAATTATGCGCAAGTTGTTTTTCATTTGTCTCTTGGGTAAAAAGCCTGTTTGATCTTGATGGATAATTTCTGCTAGAACTTTTTAAAATCTATCTGCCAATATTGATGCAAAAATTTTATAATCAGCATTTAGAAGACATATGGGCCTGTAATTTTTAATATCACTTCTATCTGCGTTTGGCTTCTGAATTAAAGTAATTAAGGCATGGTTCCATGATTCTGGAATCTTTTCCCGTTTACCAACTCGTTGACACATTTCTTTAAATGGTACACCGTTCTGCTCCTCAAAAACTTGGTAAAATTCTACCAGGATCCCGTCCGGACCAGGTGTTTTTCTCCTTTTCTGTCTTTTAATTGTGTCCACTACTTCGCACATTGTTATTGGATCGTTTAAGAGGGGGTTTTTTTTGTTGACTAAATTTCTCCACTTTAGCTCTTAAATATTCTGTGATTGTTTCATCATCTTGCTCCTCTTGTTGATATAGATTCTTATAGAATTTTTCCACTATAACCTTAAGATCCTGTAAGTTAAATTTTTCCTCGTTGTTTTCATTTCTTAACTTAACTATTAGGCGTTTCTCTCTTTCCTTTCTTACCTTGTAGGCTAGCCATCTATTTGGTTTATTTATGTTTTCAAAATAATATTGTTTAGTAAATTCAATTTTTCCCTATTACATAATTCAACAAAATATTTAATTTATGGTGAAGAAAATTCAATTTCACTTTTGCACTCTTATTATCTCTTAAAGTCTTCACATCCTTTTCTTGTTGCTTAATTTGCCTAACTAATTGTGCATAATCCTTCTTTTTCTGTTTTGTTTTCCACGCATTATAACTAATGAAACGTCCTCTTATATACGCCTTGAAAGCGTCCCATATTATTTCCAATGGTGTATCAGCAGTAGTGTTGACCTGGAAAAATTCTTTAATTTCCTTTTTACAATTTTGCACAAATTTTACATCTCTAAGCAAACTTATATTTATTGACATTCTATTTTTCTTATGATCTTCCTTTAACGTCACACTCACAGGATTATGATCTGCAAATGTGTTTGGCATAATCTCGCTTACCATCACTTCTCTAATCATATTTATTGACATCCAAATCATGTCAATTCTTGACCAAGAATCATGACGTGACGAATAATACGTAAAGTCTTTTTTGTTTAGATTTCTTACTCTCCAAACATCCATTAAATTATACTCTTCCACTATCTGTACGAAGCTGCTTGGCAATGCTCCTTCCAATCTATGCCTTTTTCTATTATTTTTCCTATCCATTGCTAAATCCGTCACCAAGTTGAAATCTCCCAGGATACATATGTAATCTACCGCAGCTAACTTTAGAATTGCTTGTACCTTCTTGATGTCTTTTGTGAAAAATCAGGTGCTGTCTCTAACTGTAAAGTCTGTAACATTTGCAGTCCAGTTTCTTCACCTGTCACATAGTAGTTCTTCCCCAGATGTGTGACCATTTAGCTACTCATTGTTACAAAATTTAGCTACTCATTGCTACAATGTGCATCAGAATTTTCTTCCAATTCCAGCTAAATGGAAAACTTTTGTTATGTCCGCTGACCGCCACCAGGGGCCAGCGAATACCCCAGAGTTTGACTCTGTAAGAACAATGGGGACTAGGCTCCTAGTCTCTCCACTTGGGAACCAATAGGATCGGGGCGGGAGATTTAAACCCACCAACGGGACCTAGGGGGGCATCCCCAGGTGTGTATATAGTTGGCCAGTCGGCCGTTAGTGTCAGCTAGCTGCCATTTTATGTTGCTTCTGTCCTTCCGTTCCCACTTGCTTGCAGCTCAGCAGCTTTGTGTAAACATTGCCTTGGAGACCGTGGGAGCTGGCTTGGCTAGACGGCGTTATCAGTCTGGCCTTGTAAGGATGGGAGGGCTTGCGGTCCACCACTGGTGTGAATCTTTCTGCTCACAGGGGCCCTGCGAGTCCCCCGCTCATTATGTAACCTCCCGCCGATAGAATTCTCCTGCGTGCGCTCAAAGTTCATTTGCTTAGCTATCCGCCTCGTCTGGCTATATGTATGGCTGTTCCCGCCCTATAGTTATTCCTAACAATAATCCTGTGGATATGGTACCAGTTTTGTACTCTAATAAAGCATAATGCTTCTCAGGAAATGTGTGTGAAGAGTTACTTGCTGTGGAACCTGACAGAAATTGTTAGGAATCTTTTTTCCTCCATCGAGCCAGGTCTCTCACGAACGAGATGAGCGGTCCCGGTGGGGCAGGGGTCACTACCCCAACAACCATGTCAGTGGCCACCCCGGTCACAACGACCGTGCCTGCCCCGGTCACATCGGCACCTACACCGAGCACCACGGCGCCGCCGGTGACTTCCCCGACGACGGCGGGAGCAGGGGCACTAGTGAAACGGAGATGAGCACCGCAACCCTAGAGTCGGATTCGACTGACTTTCGAGCAAGGGAACCTTTACCTTTACCTTTAGGGAGGGAAGGCAGCATGGTATAGCCAGATGTCCTCAGATCTTGGAAGCTGAAAGCAGGTGTTATGTCCGCTGACCGCCACCAGGGCCCAGCGAATACCCCAGAGCTTGCCTCTGTAAGAACAATGGGGACTAGGCTCCTAGTCTCTCCACTTGGGAACCAATAGGACCGTGGCGGGAGATTTAAACCCACCAATGGGACCTTGGGGTGTGTCCCCAGGTGTGTATATAGTTGGCCAGCTGGCCGTTAGTCTTTGTCTTTGTTGTGTACCAGTAAACCATGCTGATCACTACATCGGTCTCAGTGGTTTCTACATGCGTCTAACCCACTACACTTTAACTTTTAATGCCAACTTTGTCCCTTATTCTTTTTACAGAGTAAACTGTGGAGTTCATTTTTCACCAGGAGTGTTCCAAATGTTGTCTATCATAATTTATAACAGCACCATGATGTGTCATACAACAACACAGGGTCAGCGTGCATAAGGGCTGCAGAAAAGAGTTTGGAAACAATTAGGGGTGTGTGAAATGTCGTCAAGTCGCAGGCGACTTATGGTGACCCCAGCAAGGGGCTTTCACAGCAAGTGAGAGGCAGTGATCGCTGCCATTTCCTAACCTCTGCAGAGCCTTCCTTGGTGATCTCCCTTCGAAGCACCGACCCTGCTTAGCCTAACTATGCAACAGGCATAAAGAAATACTTGAAAAGTGCCTTGACTAAGTGAGAACTGTGGAGATGAATAAGATTTCTAAGCAATTTTGGCATCACAGCCAAAGCCAGACAATTTACTTCCTAGTTGTACACACTGGAAAATATGAACCTATTAAATACTCTTAAACCTGTCACATTTTAATGAAAGCGTACAAATGTCTTAAGGGGACCATACACAAATTCAAAGTGCTATAAACCATATTCACTTATTTTTGCACATTCCATGTTTTGGGCTTGCTTATACCTCTTTGGTACTGGTTCCGCTCAGGACCAACTCTTTGTTAAATGTGATCAAAGCTGTTGTTTCTCTCATAAGTTCCAGGTACCTTCAAGCATGAGATTCCATTCAACTTCATTTCCTGTTAAAGGTTGGCCCGTTCTCACCCGATCTGCAGCTTTGCTTTTCATTAGCTGCTTATATAGTCCTTTCTCCCTTCCCCCCTCCCAACTCCTGACAAAATTATTTCTTTGGGGGAAGAACGTTCTGCTCATAGTGACCAGGATTGATAATATTGCCAGCCGGCTCATATCTGGCCACTACAAATGTGGAGCCGTCGCTTGCTGCTGCCTTTCCAACTCCCATCTTTTTTGTGTTCTTCCAAACCATTGCTGTGAAGTGTCCTAAAAGGAAAACCCAAAACAAACCATATTAGTATGAGACAAGGTTTGCAAGCTAGACTGAATAGAACCAAAGAGATGCCAAATGGTTTCATTTTCAGGTGTAGGAATTCAAGCAAGGCAATAATAATAAGAAGAAGAGATGAAGAGATTGGATTTATACCCTGCCCTTCACTACCCGAAGGAGTCTCAGTGGGGCTTACAAACTCCTTTCCCTTCCCCTCCCCACAACAGACACCCTGTGAGGTACGTGGGGCTGAGAGAGCTCTGACAGAAACTGCTCTTTTTCAAGAACAGCTCTCATCAGAACCATGGCTTGTAGTCATCCAGCCAGGTGCAAGTGGAGGAGTGGGGAAACAAACCCGGTTCTCCCAGATTAGAGTCTGCGCACTTAACCACGACACCAGACTGGCTCTGAACATAAGAGAAGCCACAATGGATCAGGACATCCAGTCCAACACTCTGTGTCACACAGCGGCCAAAAACCAGGTGCCATAAGGAGGTCCACCAGCAGGATCAGAACTCCAGAAGCCCTCCCACTGCTGCCCCCCAAGCACCAACACAGAGCATCACTGCCCCAGACAGAGTGTTCCATCTATACCTTGCAGCTAATAGCCACTAATGGACCTCTGCTCTATATGTTTATCTAATCCCCTTTTGAAGCTGTCTATGCTTGTAGCTGCCACCACCTCCTGTGGCAGTGAATTCCATGTGTCAATAACTCTTTGAGTGAAGAAGTATCTGTTCTCAATCTACTGTTCATCAATTTTATTGAGTGCCCACGAGCCCGCGTGCGGGGAGGGCGGGGTATAAATGAAACAAAAAAAATAAATAAATTGTGAGAAAGGAGAAAAGTACTTCTTTCTCTACCTCTTTTATCCCATGCATAATTTTGTAAACCTCTATCATGTCACTCCTCAGTTGTCATTTCTCCAAGCTAAAGAGCCCTAACCTCTTCAACCTTTCTTTACAGGGAAAGTGTTCCACCCCCTTAATCATTTTGGTTGCCCTTTTCTGCACTTTTTCCAATGCTATATTTTTTTTTAAGTGCGATTACTGGAACTGTACACAGTATTTCAAATTAGGGTGCACCATCGAATTATACAGGGGCATTATGGTACTTGATGATTTGTTTTCAATTCCCTTCCTAATAATCCCCAACAAATCCCAATCATTAATGAACAAGTTAAAAAGCACTGGACCTAGTACTGAGCCCTATGGTACCCCACTGCTTACCACCCTCCACCGTGAAAACTGCCCGTTTATACTCTCTGTTTCCTGTTAATTAAGAAGGAGAAGAGATTGGATTTATACTCCGCCCTTCACTACCCAAAGGTGTCTCAGAGCGGCTTACAAACTCCTTTCCCTTCCCCTCCCCCACAACAGACGCCCTGTGAGGTAGGTGGGGCTGAGAGAGCTCTGACAGAAACTGCTCTTTTTCAAGAACAGCTCTTATCAGAGCTATGGCTTGCCCAAGGTCATCCAGCCAGGTGCAAGTGGAGGAGTGGGGAATCAAACCCAGCTCTCCCAGATTAGAGTCTGTACACTTAACCACTACACCAAACTGGCTCTTTTTAAAAAACCCATTTTTAATCCACAAAAGGACTTGTCCTCTTATTCCATGACTGCTGAGTTTACTTAGGAGCCTTTGATGAGGAACTTTATCAAAAGCTTTCTGGAAGTCAAGGTAAACAACATCTATTGGGTGACTGTTGTGCACATGTTTGTTCACCCCCTAAAAGAACTCTACAAGGTTAGTGAGACAAGATCTTCCCTTACAGAATCCATGCCGATTCTTCCTCAGTAGCTTTTGTTCATCAATGTACCTACTAATTCTATCTTTAATAACGGATTCCACCAACTTACCTGGTATTGACATTAGAATGACTGGCCTGTAATTTCCTGGAGAGCCAGTTTGGTGTAGTGGTTAAGTGTGTGGACACTAATCTGGGAGAAATGGGTTTGATTCCCCACTCCTCCACTTGCAGCTGCTGGAAGACCTTGGGCAGAGATGTCCTTGAAAGAGCAGTTTCTGTCAGAGCTCTCTCAGCCCCACCTACCTCACAGAGTGTCTGTTGTGGGGTAGGGAAGGGAAAGGCATTTGTAAGCTGCTCTGAGGCTCCGAGTGAAGGGCGGGGTATAAATCCAATCTCTTCTCTTCTTCTTCTCTCTGAAACCTTTTTTAAAGATGCGGGTTGCATTAGCTACCTTCCAGTCCTCAGGAATGGAGGCAATTTTTAATGATTGCATATTTTTGTCAGGCGATCCAGAAGTTCACACTCGAGTTCTCTCAGAACTCTTGGATGTATACCATCTGGGCCTGGTGATCGGTCAGTTTTTAATCTGTCCATCAGTCGTAGGATCTCTGCTTTCATCACCTCAATCAATTTAGGTTTTTCAACAGCCCTCCTGAAATTGGCGGTTCTGGAGTGGGCAAGCAACTCCCATCTTCCACAGTGAAAACAGAGGCAAAAAATACATTCAGCTTCTCTGCCATTTCCCTATCATCTTTTAGTAATCCCTTTACCCCCTTGTCACCCAAGGGCCTCACTGCCTCCCTGGCTGGTTTTCTGCTACAAATGAAGACATTTTTGGTGTTGGTCTTTATGTTTCTTGCAATACATTCTTCATAGTGCTTTTGGCCATTCTGATCACCAATTTACCACAGCCTGCGCTCCCTTTTATTTTCCTCACTTGAACTAACCTTCCACAGCCCATTTTTGCAATAGTGCTACTGGACTCTAATTCTTTTCTACTGCTACCTCACAGGGTTCTTGTGAAGATAAAATGGAGGACAGAAGAACAAATGGAAGCAGCTTTGAGTCACCACTGGGGAGAAAGGCAAGGTATAAATGGCGTAAATAAATAAAATTTTAAAACCCCAAAGGCCATAACAAAACTTAAAACACACAGGAACAGGAGACAACACAAAATGCCTAAAATCACAACCGAGGGATTATATAACACATAAACGGTTAAAACCCGCACATTTCCTTGCACAAGCTTTCCATTGTAGGGCTGGTTCCACACTATCGGTGTATGAGAACCGGCTGCACAATACATCTACTTTTCACATCAGGAGCGAGGAGGGGACCCCAGTGCAGCCAGAGATGCGCGTGGCCAAGTTACTCCAGGAGCAGCATGCTTTAGTGAGGGACTTGTCTTGTGGGCAACCTGCCAGCCCTGTTTATTAACTTACAGCATTTTCAACAAGTCTGCTAAATCTTTGTGATTTATCCTTACAGCCTCAATAGGAAAGCAAGGCCTACACCACATGTGCATGATGTACGGCACTCGATTGTGCAATCTTTGATGTCCCGCAGCCGGATGCTTGGACAAGTTTTGCTTTGTTCTGAAGTGATGCGAAGCAATATGAAAGTTCTATGGGGTTTTCTTTCCTACTGAACTACACTGGCACTTATTTTACAATGGATTGTGTTATCAAACTAATAGGTTAGTATGGTGCAGTGGGCAGAGGTGTCGAACTCGTTTGTGACAAGGGCTGGAGAAGAAGAGGAAGAAGAAGAAGAGTTGGCTTTTATGCCCTGCTTTTCCCTACCCTAAGGAGTCCCAAAGCAGCTAACAATCACCTTCCTTTCCTCTCCCCACAACAGATACATTATGAATTTGGTGGGGCTGAGAGAATTCTGAGAGAACTATGACTGGCCCAAGTTCACTCAGCAGGCTTCATGTGGAGGAGTTCTCCAGATTAGAGTCTACCGCTCTTGATCACTACACCACAATGGCTCTCAGCATGAAGAAGTACTATCCTCAGAACTCTGCCCTAGACCTGCAGGGAGGCTGTGCACAGCCAGTCTGGCACCACTTCCTTTGTGCCATCTTTGGCCAGGCCTTCCAGCACCACTAGGATTGCCAGGTCTTACCTGGCTGCCAGTGGGGTCGTGGTGGTCCTTATCTGGGATGTCTTTGGCATGCGTGCAATGCGCACACACCACAATGACATCACCCAGAAGTGACTTCATTGCACCGCAACCCTAGAGTCGGATTCGACTGGCTTTCGAGCAAGGGAACCTTTACCTTTACCTTTCACCATGGCTTAAAACAAATCAGCTACTTTTTATATATCTATATCTATATATATCGCCAGGGGTCATTTCGTAGAAAAAGAGCTGCAGGAGCTCATTAGCATAATTCATTAGCATAATTCATTAGCATATGGCACACCCCCTGACATCACCGGAAGTGTGTCAGAAGGCAACACCCACCGCTCAGGCTCCACTGCTAGCTATTGGGGGGGGGGAGAAACGTGCAAATCTGTCCTCGCAGAGGAGGGAAAGCTTGTACCTGAATAAAACTTGGTCTTAAAGGTACCACTGGACTGTTTTGGACTGGGGGGCCAGGGGAGAGCTCTGCAGCTTACCTGGCTGCTTCTTGCTCTGAGGGCTGCTGGGAGCAGGAGGTGGGGCTTGTTGCCCCCCTGGGCTCTTTACTGCCGGAGCTCCGCTCCAGTGCGCTCCTGCAGGAAATGACCCCTGTAATATCGCTTTTAGGATAAGAGTCATCATCCTTGCAAGTAAATAAGGTAGCTTTTCAGCAGCACCCTCATACGCCCAGCCTCAGCAGGTGAGTAGGGCTATGATCTGTCTCTTGCTCTTTGTTTCCTCTCTTTCCCGTCCTACCCCTGAGGTTCTCGAGGAGGCAAACCAGACTTCCCCCTCCATCACCCTATCCCCACCAACAATAACCCTGTGAGGTGGGCAAGGCTGAGTGACTGGCCCCAGGTGACCCAGACGACAGGTCCCTGGCTCAGGAGGAGGGAGGTCTCTCTCCCAGATCCCCCCACCCCCAGTTCTCATCCCTCCTGCATTTCCCACAGAAGGGGTGGGGTTTAGGGAAGGCCTGATGGGGAGGCTGTTTCCGAAACCTCCAGGAGGCGTTTTTTGACCTCTTGTGACACCTTTTCCCTCATGTGCTGCAGCGGCAACTTCAGCGCCCCCTTCCCCCCTTCAATCCTCCCCACGCTTCCGAGGCCGGGAGGTCCTTCCCCTCAGAGCGGCAGGCACAACACAGTCCAGCTGCCTCCCGATCTACATGCCAGCCATCCTCCTCCTCTCTTCCCCGCTGGCCCCCCTCCCTTCATCAGCTAATTGAATAATTCCTGGGAAATCAAGCTGTGCATGAATCAATGCGTTTATAAATTTCAGTGTCAGAAAGAGGAAGATTTAAAAATCACATTCTTTGCTTCCTCATGCTCCTCTTGAGTCAAAAATGGAGCCACCCACCCTCAATTTCCTGTCAAAAGTTTCAGCAGCAGGCGTTCTTCCTCTCTCCCACCACCATGAAATATGTACGTAAATGCCTGATTTTGGAACAATGATGGGAAAATAAATGTTCCCTTCTCTACTGTCAGTCGAGAAATAAGCAATGCCAGGCCCAAGCTCACCTGTGTTAGAGGAAAATCCTGGACTCTGAAAGTTGTAATTTTTTATTTCGCTATACCATCTGTCAGCTACTTCTTTCCCTGCAAGATAAAATCAAATTGTGCTGTGGGATTTCAGTGCATTTAGTGAACTCTGCAAAGAAATATTACCGGTCTGTTTTTGTCTCCTGCTGCCGGGGGGTGGGGGTGTGTGTGTGTTAACCAGGACATATTTTTAACCAAGCTGGAATTACATTTAGTAAAAAATTGAAGTTTCAAAATAGGAACTAAAAAAACAACAACAAGTTTTGTCCATAAAGAATTAGAGACTTAAATGGTGCTGGAATATGCCACCAAGTCACGGCCGACTTATGGCAACCCCTCAAAGAACTTTCAAGGCAAGAGATTGACAGAGGTGCCTCTGCGTAGCAACCCTGGCCTTCCTCAGTGGTCTCCCCTCCAAGTACTAACCAGGGCTGACTCTGCTTTGCTTCTGAGATCTGATGAGATTGGGCTAGCCTGGGCAATGTTCCCTCTAAGCTGAGTTAGTGTGAGCTAGCTCGCATTTTTTTAGCCTCCGGCTCACACATTTTTGTCTCAGCTCACGAAGAAGGGCTCCAGAGCAAGCTAATTTAAGCAGCAGCCAAATTGCTCGCTCACACCTTTAATGCCAGTAGCTCACAAAGGAGAATTTTTGCTCACAAGACTCCAGTGTTATACAAATTAATATCCAGTCAAAAATAGAAGATTGAAGTCAAAATGAGGAGGAAGTTCTTGTATTTTATTGCAATGAAATACGGAAAACAGGCCAAAGGACCCATCAAAGTTGACTGCTTTCTGAGCCCAATCAGGAAATACATGAAGTTAAATACTTAAAATGACATCATCATATCATCATCATCATGAGAATAATATTCAGAAGGCATAATTGGTTACAAAAACTTAAACAACATTTACATTAAAATCTCCTTATTGGTCAAAGTAAAGGAAGGTGTGTCTATGCAATAGCGTCACATATTTACTTGACCTGACCTAAGTCATATTGGCTAAAGCTTGTTCTCAACCAAACAAAGGTGTTTTTCTCTGATATCAAGTAAAAGATCCTTTTGACCAGACACTATGAAGTTATAACCTAAACAATTAGAACCATGAACCTTCTACCTTCTTTTGTGCCAAAAGAATGTTATTGTCTTGTCTATTAACCTCAACTGGAAAAATACCCTGACCCACAAAGAAGGCCTCCTATATACCAGGCCTTCATAAAATAATAAACCTATAAAAACCAGAGAAATATGAATAATCAAAAAGAGAAAAATCTATATAGTCCCATCTCTACTACAACAGCTTAGAGGGAGCACTGGGCCATATACTTATCCTTTCTTTTAGAAGGCAATCAGTGACAGGGGCAGAAGTAGGAGGCAGCCCTTTGAGAGGCCGCCGTAAGTTGTCTGCAACTTGACGGCACTTTCCACCACCATACTTGACCACTCTGCCCAGCCAAGTTTGACTCCGTCCTCTGAACTAAGTAGCCCATCTCTACTGGAAGAGCCTTGCCTGTGAAAGGAAAGCTGGCAGGACAGCCTCCTTAGGCGAGAGGAAGGCATCAGACATGGATGAACCAAGGGCAGTATACAAGCTATCAGCACTGCTAGGTCACAGTGGGAAGCGCCATCAAGTCATGGCTGACTTATGGCAACTCCTTAAGGTTTTAAAGGCCAGAGACATTCAGAGACGGTTCGCCATTGCCTGCCTCGGTGTGGCAACCCTGGACTTCCTTGGTGGCCTCCCGTCCAACTACTAACCATGTCCGACCCTGTTTAGCTTGGAACATCTGATGAGATTGGGCTAGACTGCCTACATAATCAAAAACCCAATAAAATTCCACCAGTGGTTTTGGTCATGGATATAGCTGCAGTGGCTCAAGTGGTTAAGATGCTGAACTGCAGGCTGTGGAAGGTCGGTAGTTCAGCAGTTTGAGACCTGAGTGTGCCGCATGACGGAGTGAGCTCCCGTCTCTAGTTCCAGCTCATGCCAACCTAGCAGTTTGAAAGCAAGCAATTGCAAGTAGATAAATAGGTACCACTTTGGTGGGAAGGTAACAGCGTTCCGTGCACCTCGGTGTTTAGTCATGCCGGCCACATGACCACGGAGAAGTTTTGGACAGCGCTGGCTCTTCGGCTTTGAAACGGAGATGAGCACCGCAACCCTAGAGTCGGACTCGACTGGCTTTCGAGCAAGGGAACCTTTACCTTTACCTTTATGGCATCTTAACCTGCAATTCCCATTTTTCAGGGAGAGTAAAATATTTGAGTAATCCCTTATCAGTGTCTCTATTAAAAACCCAGCTTACCTGACTGATCATAAGAAGCCCATGCTAAATTTTCGCCATATTTTCCATTACTAGATTCAGAACTATGCTTGAGGATTCTCGTGCTAGCAAGTGCTTCTGAATACCTGTATTAAAACAATCATAATTCCATTATGGAACAATAAGCAGACGATATTTAGCTTTGTGGTTATGAAAAAGCACTCGGATGGAAGAGTCTAGGTGATCAGTTTATGACACTGTGCAACCATAGAAGAAAGAAAATAAGAGGCCCCTTAAATCCAGGAGTAGCAAACCAGGGTGACTGTCTTCTGGAGTTCCCAGACATTTTGCATTTGCACGGAGAAGAATGAGAGCAGCCACATGCCATGTTTCCCCCTGCAAAATTCTTTCACGGGGATTATCTGTCAAGGTTCCTCTGATGTTCCCCAGTTTTACATTGTGAAGGCACAACTTCACCAATAGTGGGTGAAATTACCCTTCCACAGCGCTCACATTTATTTTTCTTTATACATAATCCTTTAGAAGTCGCTTTTCCAAGGTGACCTACACGGAAGGAATAAAGCTACAATATCAGTACTCTTGCCCCTTCAAAAGACTGTCTTGGATCCAGCTGGCATTGGTAGTGGTGGAAAAGGGGTCCTCTTTGGCCATGAAAAAAGGCCATGCTGAGGATCACAGGACTTTGCATGTTGAAAAGCCGAGGGGGGTACGAACTGTTGGGCACAGGGGAACTTGCTGAGTGAGTGAAAAAGCTACTTGGATCCAACCCATTAGCATCTTCAGCAGCATTAGCTATAGGCTCGGCACCCTTCTTTATTAATGAAAGATAGAAAACTAGTCAGTTCTTACATGATGGTTGAAATGTTCCCCACCACCCCCAATTATGCAATTACAAAGGCACCCATTCTCCAGCATCGATCTACTTCTTAAAAGTTTTTTTTTGTTATTCCACATGTTAGTTTTCCCAAACCAGTTCAGCATATATATACCCACATTTAGACAAACCTAAGGAATGGTGGATACCCAGCCCTAGTGACAAGTCTCTCAGCCAAATCTACATCTCAGTGTTTTTGTGAGGATAAAATAGGGAACGGAGAACCCTGCGCCTGAACTCCCTGGAGAAAGGGCAGGATAAAAAAAATGAGTGACTGCCCGGAATCTCCTACCCTCCAGTGTGAATTGATTCACCAAGAAGTTCTGTTGTTCATGTAGACAGCTATAAAGTTCTGAGGGAATTCTAACAAGTCACGTAAACCTTTAATACCATTTTCTCTTTCTACCCAAAATCAGTTTTATAAAAAACTACCATCAAGAGTGAGATTGTGGTATGCTACCAGCCCTGTTCCAGAAGATGGCACCAGAAGGCCATCATTCCCTTATCAGAGAGGCCCCGGTTCTGAAGTATCATTCTATGACAGTGATGGCGAACCTTTTAGGGACCAAGTGCCCAAACTGCGACCCAAAACCCACTTATTTATCGCAAAGTGCCAACACGGCAATTTAACCTGAATACTGAGGTTTTACTTTAGAAAAAACAACTCATACATTAACTTAAGATGATCCAAACAAAATAAGGAAAGCAATCCCAAATGCTTTCATTTACTTAAAATTACTTGGCAGAGAATTCGACACTTTAATGATGGTCTGGGCCTGGCTGGGGCGATGGCACGTGTGCCCACAGAGAGGGCTCTGAGTGCCACCTCTGGCACCCGTGCCATAGGATCGCCACCACTGTTCTATGAGACGTGTCGTGAAGTTTTTTTGTAGCAGGAACTCCGTTGCATATTAGGCAACACCAGGGGTCATTTCGTAGAAAAAGAGCTAGGGGGACTCATTAGCATAACTCATTAGCATATGCCACACCCCCTGACATCAGGGGCCCGGCGGTGGACCTGCAAGGCCAGCAGGAGTGCGAGGAAGCCCCGGAAAGACCCCTGAGTAGTAAAAAGTCAGAGTACCCAACCCAAATGCTAAAATTCTTGCATGTTCCGAAGAAACAAGGGAAAGTTGTACTCACTGCTGCGCATCCCTGTTTAACTTTTTGCAGAGTTTTAGGGGGGGAATACCATGCTTCTTTCTGTAGTCATTGTGAGCTTTTAAGACCTCTTCTGCAAACTGTTTGGAAGCTAAAACAGTATAAAAATATGTTGAAATGTTGCGTGTCTGTTGCAAGTAATGCCCATTGCAAAAAATAAAAATATATATTCTGTTCTATTACAGTCTAAAAAAGAAGAAAAACAGTTTTACCAGCTCACTGGAATGCTCCACTCTTGGTTACACAAACAGAAGAGGAGGAGGCATTTTAACATTCAGCACCACAACGAAAAGGGTAAAAGGCACATTAAAAGGCATGAAAGTATATTTATGGCATTAAAAATGTCATGAACATCAAACCACTATGAATTTTGAAAATCTATGCATGTAAAGTAGTGGAGTTCCAGGTGTAGCATAGTGAAATCAGCTCACATTTATTGATTACATTGGAACGAAAAGAGATAACTTAACCAGTGCAAGGCCGGCTTATATTCGTGCACATACTCACACCCAACACACACCCAATTCCTGTGATAGGTTCTATATACATGGCCCAGGTAACGATAGGTTATCTTCAGGGTCCTAGCGCTCCCATTGTTTCTTGCTAGGATCTGCGGTGGCTATTGTTCTAGACCCGAAGGTCCAGGGGTCATTTCTTGCAGGAGCGCACAGGAGCGGAGCTCTGGCAGTAAAGAGCCCAGGGGGAGGGCACATGCAACAAGCACAACCCCCTGCTCCCAGCAGCCCTCAGTCAGAGTAAGAAGCAGTCAGGTAAGTTGCAGAGCTTCCCCCCGGCCCTCCGGTCCAAAACAGTCCAGTGGCACCTTTAAGACCAAGTTTTATTCAGGTACAAGCTCTCCCTCCTCTGTGGGGACAGATCAGCACATTTCCCCCCCCCTCAATAGCTAGCAACCCAAAACAGTGCAGTGGAGCCTGAGCGGTGGATGTTGCCTTCTGACACACTTCCGGTGATGTCAGGGGGTGTGGCATATGCAAATAAGTTATGCTAATGAGTTCCTGCACCTCTTTTTCTACTAAATGACCCCTGCGAAGGTCTGTGGTCCGGTAGATGCAATGGCCAGGCGCACGTGGTCGCAGCCATCTTAGTACATAACAATGCACTTCTGTCTTAACCAACATAAATATCAGTACAAATGTTCAGATCTGGTTTACTGCCCTGACAATTAACCTTATATCCCTTTTTGCTTAATTTGTTTTATATCTAAAATTAAAGAATTGCCAAGTCCTACCTTAATCCGCAGCGGGGGACTCCCAGCTTGCTCCGGGAGCGCCCGCACGCGCACCCGCCCCCGGCGCACCCGGTGTGGCTGTGTCACTTCCGGGTGATGTGCTGACACCGGGCACGTCCCGTGCTTTGGGGGTGGGGTTCCCCCCGGGGCCCGATCCGCCAGCAGCGGGAAACGGGCCTCTGGGGTGGGGATTTCCCCGCCCCCCCCGGGGGGACTTGGCAAGCCTAATTGACTGCCATTCTTATCGGAACTAACTACAAAACAAGGCATATATTCTGCTTTGTATCTACCATTTCTCGTGTTAGAATACCATTCTCATGCTCATGTCATTCCGTTTATAGTCTATGGTTTTCATTGGCAACCAGTTTGACAACAGTAATACTTTGAGGTAGTGGTGGAAAGTGCCATCAAATCACAGCTGACTTATGGCGACCCTATAAGGTTTTCAAGGCAAGAGACAAACAGAGGTGGTTTGCCATGGCCTACCTCTATGACACAACCCTTGGCTTCAATGGTGATCTTAGCTTCTGAGATGAGGAGGTAGAGCAAAAGGCAGTAAGTCCACTCTCCACTATGACCTGTTTCATAAACACTCAAGTCCCCACCTGGGAGGGGGGCAGTCCCTGTGGCTGCATCCTCACGGAGGAAGCGGTATATGAGCTTATGCATCTACAGAGATTTGCATGAGCACAGACATATTATATATAATCCCCTGTCCTCAAGCAAATTACTACTGGAAAGCTGCATGGTCCTATCAGTTTACACATTACTCCATCCACAAAACGAAGGCCATGGGACTGTTTCATGTGGAGGGCTGAGCCTGTAATGTATATGAAATGGCCCCTTAATTCCCTGCAAGTTCCATGCCTGCAAACCATGGCTCCTGCCATGTACACCTTCACCTCTGTGTTGATTTCAAGACGCCATGCAGTAGGGGAGGGGGCATGGCTCAGTGGTAGAATATCTGCTTGGCATGCAAAAGGTCCTAGGTTCAATCCCCAGCATCTCTAGCTCAAAGACCAGGCACTAGGGGGTGTGAAAGACCTCAGCCTGAGCCACTGGTGAGCCGCTGCCAGAGTAGACCAGGCCTGTAGCCAGGAGATTTTGTGGCAATTTTTTTTTCTGGTGGGGTGAAGTTCTCAGTACAGAAAGAAAAGCAATTTAGCCAATAGAAAGCTGTTACCAGGATACTTTAGATGAGAGTTCTGAGCTGCTGCAAGTTCATCACTTCTGCCAGCAGGTGGGAGTGATGACTTCTGTAGTCAAGAAAGCTAACACTTAGGAGGTAAAATGCCCTTAAAGAGGACCAGTTTCTTTATACAGAGTTAGAAGGGATCCTAGAGGTCACCTACTCCAACCCCCTTGCTCAGCGCGGGAATTAGTCAACTACAGCACCCTACTCTGCTTAAAGAAGTGCACGCCTTTAGAAAAATGTTTTAAAATAATTGAAAAGTAGCATTTACAGGAGAAATCCTCGTGGGCTTGTGCTTTTAAGGAAGGGGCAGAGCCCTCAAAAGCTCCACCATAGCTATGAGCCTGGAGTAGGCAGTACTGACCTTGATGGACCAACAGTCTGATTCAGTGTAAAGCAGCTTCATAAGTGTTCATGTGTGCCCCACAAGGACTAGAAATGGCCCAGAGCTGATAGCGCCTCATATCTTTTCCTTCTTTAAGGATTGTAAGTGAGGGATTTTCTCCTTTTCAAGCCCAGGAACATATACTACAGCTTCTCCCTCATAACCCTGTATCTGCAGCCTTTCTATTGTAAGATTTAAGACTGCCTTCCAGAAGAATTTTTCCCTTATGAACAGATGACTGTTTGGCTGTATTAACACTGCTCTTCAAATGCAGAGCGGAATTAAACTTCCCTGCTAGTTTGCGTTAGACAAATACAGCACCGTCTTCAGTTTCTGAAGACAATGCTTACAACAAAAGTCTGTTCACATTTCTAACAGCACAGGGCAAATTTCTTAACAGGAAACAGATACTCTGCTTATGTTGTGGGTTTTTTCCCTTCCTTGTATTGCTTTTATACGTGGGTGGTTTCCACAAGGGTACGGGCACTGGCGGTTTCCCCTTTGCTGCTGCATCACAACACAGAGGGCAAGAGGGCTTCTATGTGGCAGGTTTCCCTGCCCCCCCCCCCCCGTGGAAATGGCCATTTGGTCTTTTAGCAGTTCTGAGAGCAGGATGACCTGCAGTGGACCTCTAAGGAGCAGGCCGGCCTGGAATCCTTCCACTTTGCAATTCAACACTGCTCGGCATATTTATACTGAAAGATAACCTCGGGGGAATTTGTTCATTCATACCAAATGCATGCTCTTCCGGTCTTTATAACAAGCACCCCTGTTTTGTGTCTTATTAACAGAAGGCTCATTAGGCAATAGTGAGCAAGTCAACTTAATGAGTTCTGATAGCACGTGAGCATAAGAAGCTACCTGAAACTGAGGCAGACCGAGGGTCTTTCTATCGATGGCTTCATTTATGGCACGCTTCTGAGAGGAGAATTCTCCCACAGTGACTCACATAGGAAGGGGAGTAGAAGAAAAGGTAGGGGAGAGAGAGAGAAAGAGATGACTCTCCAGTTGGGGGCATGCTGATCTTCCCTTGCTGGTTTTCATCCTGGGAGGGACAGGGTGCAGCCTTCCAATGGACCTTGGATCTCCAGCTGAAAGCCAAGGCCAGAGTGTCCTCCTCCTGCTCCTAGCTTCCATTCCAGCGGGCAGTGGCCCTCCCAGTGGTTCAGGACTTTGGGCATGCAAAACAAAATCAAGATGTGTGCCCAGTAGCACCTTAAAGGCCAGAAGAGGTCCATCAGTGGCTATTAGCCACAATGTATAGATAGGAACTGTCAGTCTGGGGCAAGTGATGCTCTGTATTGTTGGTGCTGGGGGGGGGCAACAGTGGGGAGGGCTTCTAGTGTCCTGGACGCACTGCTGGACCTCCTGGTGGCCCCTGGTATTTTTGGCCACTGTGTGACAGAATGTTGGACTGGATGGGCCATTGGCTTGATCCAACATTGGCTTATCTTCAGTGTTCCCTCTAAGCTGAGTCAGTGTGAGCTAGCTCACAGTTTTTTAGTCTCTGGCTCACACATTTCTGTCTTTGCTCAGGAAGGATGGCTCCAGAGCAAACAAATTTATGCAGTAGCCAAATCGCTCGCTCACAGCTTTCATGACAGTAGCTCACAAAATAGAATGTTTGCTCACAAGACTCCACAGCCTAGAGGGAACATTGCTTCTCTTATGTTCTTATGTAAGATTTACAAGGTACAAGCTTTTGAAAAGCTTATGCCCTGGAAATCTTGTTGGTCTTTGAAGTGCTACTGGGCTCGAATTTTGCTTTTCTATTGCAGACCAACACAACTACCTTCCTGAAAGCATGCAAAACATGTACACTTAATGGGGGGCTCCACTACAACATGGCTTTCCGAACATTACTTATCTTCAAACACTATCTTCTGATCCAGAAAGCACATTTTAAACTCTCATAAATCCAGCAGGACATCTTTTTTGCTTTAGTGGTACGTCACTCTGTTGGACCCATACAGAATGTACAAGATCCCATACTAGACCTTTGACATCTGAAAGCTACTATGCATATTTGCCAATAAGCTGGGTTTTTAAAAAACTCAGTCCACATATAAAGGAATGTGCAATCCTAAATCTGCTGCCACTGTTATAAAAATACATGCACAAGCAGCGGTCACTTCCCCCCACCCCAGATATGGGGAGATCCTCCTAACACATGGAAACCATCAGCTGCATAAAGCTGGAATACATCATCAGGTCAACAGTCAAGTGATGCTAGCATTTCTTAAAAGCTGCAACTGTCGTAGTGCT